TAATTATTGTATACTAAACAACCTACTGAAAGTGAGTATCACTCCTTTATCTCTCTAATGGTTGCCTGGGGCGTGATTCTTTTCTCTTTGTACTCCTCTACATGGTCCCCTATACTTTTCGTTTAATTTTTTTAATAATTACAGCTGCTGACAATTTTAAAGAGCCAAAATACTTATTAAGCCAAAATTACAAGCCTGACTCGTCCCGCTAGAGCTACAACAGTTACGGTAAAAACTCTACGCTTTTGAGACTGAAATAAACGGTGTATTTTAAATCTCGAGCACTAGACAGGAACAATAATTTATTTGTTAGTAACATTTTTTTTTGAATGACTGTTGTGACAGCACCCATAGTTGCAAACCGACAAATATTGACTGAGGAGTCTTTAAAAAAGTAGTTTAAATTTCTCTCTATAACTAGTCTGTGGTAATCGTGTGCTATTATCACCCAAACAAAAAATGATGATATTAATAATTAACTCACTGCATCAATATTCTAACCTGTGAAATGCTTTGTAAATAGACCAAAATCTTTATTAGTTATGTAAGTCTCGGCCTCGGCCTCTGCATTTCATGAACAAGCTGCAAAGTACTGGATAGTAACCGATTATGGGGTGTTGTATGTGGGGTTTGACGCAAATTAAAATCCTATACTCTAATATATTAGCATATTATGCTGAACTTTTTACGAGCATCTGCATCAATGCATAGTCATGTTCCTTGCTAAGTACAAGTTTTACGGCTTTTTGGCAAGCTTCTAGAATTATAGGATGTCAGGGAAAACCTTCAAACATTGATTTTTAATCATCTTAGTCCTTTTGCAATTGTCATTTCACTTTGTAGCCGATCCTTCCTATCATTAGAAAAACCTGAGTAAAACTCTAGAAGTTCGACATGTCTTAGCTTAACAGCCCATAAGAAATGATAATCGAGTCTTCTTACGCTGCTGAGGACGAGGAGGTATAAAGAACATTGCGTGCAAGAGATAATATCCTTTCTTGCTTCGTGGTAGTTTTTTCATTATTCCTTCAGGGTGAGATCGATATCAGCTATCATTGTTATGAAAAAATGAAGGGTTTTCTTTGTTTTTAAGAATTATTGCCAGTTATAACCACAAAATTCTTGCTGTGTGTTATGACTTTTAAAAATGTTTTCCAAGCCACCACGATATGAAATCAAGTAAAATTAATCTTAAGAACTACGTAGAAATGAGGAGATGTTTTGTAATAACACGACTGAAACTGTCTACTGTGGCCACAAACGGTTGAAATATAAAAATGTTGATAACACCATGGTTTTTAAATGAAGTAGCTTTAAACTCCATCTCTGGTTTTGAATTATATCGAAAAAAAACAAGCATTTATTTTTTCTTTTCAAACTTATACAACACGGAATTCATTTAAAGACGTGCAGGGCTTCTCTTCATTCATATTTTAAGAATGTAGGACGCCTTTTCTCCCATGAAATTTTAATGTTTTCATTCAATGGATCGTACGTTCCTCTTTTTTTTAAGTTCATGAAATTAATTACTCTTGACGACTCGTGTCCACGAAATAATTTACAACAGAATGATGATACGAAAATGAAGTATAACTAAATCAAAAAAGGCCTGTGTAGAGGTTCGATGTGTGTAAAATAAATAGTTCATTTAAGCTGGTAATTACTTTTTTTTATTGCGTAATAACTGCGTACCTGTAAGGAACAAAAGCCTGTTATTCCTTATTCTTAATTAACCTCTTAGGGTGCGTGCGATTCTTTTCATCGTTACAGAGTCTTCTTTATATTTACGGCAAGTGGCAAGTTTAAGAGAGTACCGGCGCTGCACCGGTATCGCAGAGGTCATGGATTCAAATCCCGTATGGGTCTGAATTTTTTTCAGGTCCTATTTTCAACTACTCATTTCAGTAGTGTTCTTAGCTCCGAGGATCTCTTAATTTCGTCTCTTCGCCGCAGTACAAATATATGAATTTCATATATCTACAATCATCATTAGAGTAGAATATGTTTCTATTTACCCAAAGTAACACTCGAGACGCTCAGACTGCTATGAAAAGTTGCGATATTTATAAATAAATTCTAAACCGTTTCCAGACTTAAAAAATAGCACTGTGATATATTCTCAAGGACCAGACAGGAACGAGAAATTAGTTATCAATTAAGAGTATTCTATTGACTACTATAACTTCAGCTGCAATTATGAGGCAACAAATGCTAATGACAGCATTCTTTGTAATGCGTTTTGAATTTCTTACCGGAGAGGTGCTGCATCTTAAAAGGTGAGCCAGTTTTCTTTAACTCTAGTGAACACTCCAAGAGTGAAAAACTATATTAAACTATTCGGAACATACAACTTCTACATTTTGAGAAAACCAAAAGGAAAATAAATTGTTCGAACGAATTCGATGCGATAATCCCTCGAATCTGGATAAAAATTTAACTGAAAGCGATTAGTTTTGAGTTTTGCAGTCCTTTTAAAGGATTTGCTTTTCCTTTTTCTGCTGACGGGTAAGATGTTAACTTTGACCTGATATTTCTAATTCTCCAACTAACAAAGTAAGGGTTTTTTTTGAAAAGCAACCGATTTAAGCTTTAAGATGAGCTTTACATCAATTTTTCAAACAATTTGTCCAAAAAGGACATGTTCATTCATATTGGAAATACTCTGTATCACATCTCGAATTTCACGTTTGTAATGCAGCATAATCGATGTGAATAAAGCAATAATGTTCTTCGCAAGTGAAAGTTCAAAATGAAATTTCTTTTTATCGACTTTCCACGACTTCTTTTTGCGGCGCAAAGTTTTGGAACACTTTTCTTTCGTTAATTTTACGCGAGAGAGAATTCAACAATACGCCAGTTTATAATCTGGCTTAGAGTCACTGCGGAAGGCCTATTTGGTACACCGTTTTATTTTCTCGCTGATTAGAGGTGCTATTTCACAGCAATTTGTGGCGGCGTAATAATGCTTTCCAAAATCTCTCAGTTTCAAAACATGACCAAAATTTATCACATAGAACATTAACCCACCAACAATATTTCCATAGGGACATTTTTTTTTCAGTACAGTAGCTGCGAGGATGCTCCGAATATCGCCTTTGATTGTTATCTATAAAAGGCCTGTGTATTTGTTTTTAACACGACGATGGTCGAATTCTACTTTGGTTCTACTTTCCTCAACGGTTTTGAGGTTTTGCGGTGCCTCCAAAGAGGTCAAATGAAAAAAATTGTACCAAAGTCGTGCGGGAACTTGTTTTATTCTGCATGTGCAGAGGGCTGGAGTAGTCATTAAGACTAACTTCAACATCAAAAAAGAGAATAAATTGATAGCGTTCACGTAAGTTTTGGCAACAAAGGAATCATTATCTTCACCTTGGATAAATGATTCGAGACAACTTTTCTCTCAGTATTTTTGGGGTTCAGTCACAAAATATTTTTTCGGAATAAATAGTAAGAGAATGAAGTTCAAATTGCTTGACCAATCGTACTTATTTTCTGCTTCGAGAAGTGTAATCTTCAGGACTTAATTATCTTCAAGCCCCACAGGTGTTCTCAGTCGGTTTTAATTTGCGTCCACGGGGCGTCTTTCCTACAATAGAAACCTCATAAGGAGGTTCGGCTAATTTCCATTCTATAAACTGATAAAAATAAATGTCCTTGATGCATCAGATTCGTAATTTTCGGTCACGGAACTATACTTAAAACAATGATTTTTTTTTTTTTTTTTTAAGGACTTATCTCCAACTTAAATTTCAATGCACAAAGGCTGTGCATTAAGAATCGAAGCTACTTGGTAACGATTTGACGCAAAGTGCTGATCTAATTTCTGGAGAGCTTTTTTTAAGTATGTTAACACATCATTCTGAAATGTTTGAGGGCATTCGTTTTTGAGCAGAGGTGAATTATATATCTTTTAGGCTTCAAAGTTTCTGAAAAGTGATAATCAAGTCTCCCTGACGTTGGTGAGTGTGGGGGCTCTAAGGAATAATTGCGTGTTTATCATTCGTTATTCCTTTTCGGGGTAAGTCAAATTCTCTGTCATCATTAAGATGAGAAATAATGTTGTTCTCTGTGCTAATAAAACGGTAAAATCGAACGTGCTTCATCCGTGTGTCGATACATTAAAGAAAAAAATTGCAAGCGTTTGAGCTCCAACATATGGTGCAAAATATTTTATGTAGGACTTCAAAGGAGCGAGTACTCATCTTTTACCAACACAACCTACGACAAAAAAAAATTTTCATCTCTAAAGAACAATAGAGAAATCGACACCAAAGTTTTGCTGCAATTCAAAAAGCCTTTTTCAATTAAAAAGCCTCATTTCAATCTATGGATTCATAATGCAAATTCAACCTCACATCTCCTCTCTTAAATTTGATTTAGAGGAGGAATCGAATCATTTTGTTCAAACCGAATCTTTGGCGCAAAAGTTGTGCGACATTGTTTAATAGGGGTGTCGAAAAATTGCAAGCACAGTAATATTATCGTAAGGAAAGCACGTCTTGTTTGAACTTTTTTTCTTATCAACTTGCCATGACATGAATTAATATTCTCTCCTATAAATCAAACGGTCACGATATGTTTTGCATCACCAAAATGCCGTAACTCAAAATAACAATGGATCAAGTCTATCAAAAAATATATGAATGCTTACCTCACTCGTTTCATTGTCACCTTTTAATCTTGAGAACGATCAACATTTCAGCTGCAATTCTTTCTAGGAAGCAACCTTTATAATTCCCAAATAAGTGCAAGAGATGTAAAAGTTAAGAATATCAAAGAGGCGGATGAACAAAGGTGTAGCGACTCAGACATGCAGTTGACTTGCAACCGATTCAGAATGGATTTCTTCATTTGCCTTCCGTTTGTTTCGCTCGGTTTGCTTTAAATCTAGAAAAAACGCTCAATGCATATTCCTAAATAATATGTACCTTCCGATTTCAGCATCAGTGATAATGCCGTGGAATTCGAGTTTCTCAGTCCTACTGGCCTCTTTGTATCTCATGGACTTCGCTAATGCTAAAAATCCGTGCAAGACCGAAGTTAGCGTACCTGGTATGGCTCTCAGAGGATTCGTCTTTAAAAAGGTCCCAGTAACAGCTCCTCATGTGTGCGATATCACCTGCGAGAGGGAAACGATATGTCAAAGCTACAATTATGTAATTGGGGAAAAGTCCTGTGAACTTAACACCCGGACCAAGGAAGCAAGGCCCGAGAATTTCCAGCCAGACGATTTACGCTTTTACATGGGACGCATTAGTGGTAGAAGTATGTATCCGGTTTAGTTTATTTTACATACAAAAATTTTCTCAGTGAGTTCCTAGTAAGACCTCGCTACTTTCCGAGAGCTAGTGTCCGATTGCTTTGTTATTAAATAGGGTCAGTGTCTTAAAGCAAAATTCGCCTTCCATAGTACATTGATATCAGCTAAACTTCTCAGCTCTTAATCATTGTTATTCCATGTTTAGCCCAGAGAAATATATTTTCAGATCTAATCTGTTTTGCAACTTCTATTACCCTTAAACCATTAATGAAGTCATGTCTATATTTTAGCCCCCTTAGGATCTATTCCTGAATTACCAGCGCTGTCGTGCCAAGAGATAAAATTAAGTGAAGGTAAAGACAGCATCAGTAAAAATTACTGGTTGGATCCAATTAATGTCGGGAGCTCAAAGTTGGTTTACTGCGACATGATTTTGGAAGGTAAGTCAATATACCAAGAACAGAATTTACACAACGTTTGGTCTACCTTTGCCCTGGCCTTTTGTGAAATGTTTTCACCTTGTCTCAGTGATTTCTTCGATTAATTTTCAAATAGACATCGATGAATGTAAAGGCAGCAATAAAGTTTGTGACAAAAATGCAAACTGCTCCAATACTGTTGGGTTTTATAATTGCACCTGCAAAGAAGGATTTACTGGGGATGGACGCTCGTGCTCAGGTAAACTAGTTACGGACACGCCGAGGTACAATATTTAATTATTTGAACATTTTTTTTTGGTGACTGATGCGTTGTTCTGCTTTAAAATTAACCTTATCACAATGACTGACAGGAGCATGAAAATAAAATCGCTCGTCTGGCTCTGAACCCTGTGCACAGGATGGATATGTAAATGATTTTCCAAGGCGCTACGTTTTCGTTGACACTTAAGATATATTTGAGTGAAAAAGTTGAAAATTATTATCATCAAGTTTTATAAAATAGTCAAGATACTACGAGCACCCTGATTGGTCAAAAAACAATCGTTGATTGCACCGGTAAACCTGTGGAAAATTGAAGTTTATATATGTTATTAAAGTAACGGACCGCACTTTCTATCGGTTTACCAGCGTAGTAAACGTCTTCAGGTGTTGGGAAACCATTCGAAAAAAAAAAAAAAAAAGTAGATCAGTCGCCTCCAGCTCGTTCTCACAAAATCCAGCGTGGATTATATCGCCAGTAAACTGAGAGAAAGAGCGATAAATAAAGGTTCTACAATAACTGCGGTGCTGCGTCGTTGGGAGAGTGCAACAGGGTAATATAGTATTATCAACTGAGTTGATGAGGTAAATTGGCCACCATAAAGAGTGTTACAGCGAATGCTCGAAACGTCAGCTTTGAAACTCTTTACAGAGGCCAATTTGCATTCTCAACTCAGTTGATAAGGTAAGAATCCTGAGTCCTGAAGGGATTGTATATTTTTCTCTGACCTTATCTGACCCTTTTCATAGAACGAAAGGAAACCTTTAGGAGGCGAAGAGAAATTACACACTCCTGGGAAATAATTGTGTTACTACCGAATACCTCAGGGCTGGCATCGTTGCGCGGGAGCTGAGAATCAAAAATGTTTTAACGCATTTGGTAGCATACAGTAGAAGTACATACAACTCAGACTAAAATGGGAGATCAAAGCAAAAGAAAACATGACACTTTGTAATGCTATCAGTGATTGAGGAAGAGCTAACACTCGAAACTTCAGCTTTTTTACCCTTTACGGTGGCTAATTTACGTTTTCAACTCAGTTGTTACTAAATTATCTGCTATAATTATCAAAACCTGGGTGATGCCAATATTAAGAGTAGTTACGCTACACCGCAGTTTGGTCCAGTGTTTTGTGACGACCTACCCCCCAAGGAATGGTACGTTTTGTGGGAGCAGCAGGAACAAGCCAGTTGTTTCAGAGCCGATAGCTTGATAAACTGAAATATTCGTGATAAAATATACGTTTCAAATATCTAATTCGTGGAACACAAAAAAAGAGAAAAACTGTCTTATCATGTATGATTATCAAAGTAATCACTCGACTGAGAGTCCGCTCATTTTTAAAGTGACAAACATGATGAAGTGCAAATATATATGTGGTTTCTCAGATATTGACGAATGTAAAGGAAATCACTCTTGTCACGTGAATGCTACCTGCACGAACACCAACGGATCCTATCTTTGTGAATGCCACCCTGGATTTAATGGAAATGGTCAAAGCTGCACAGGTAAATTTAATCTCTTTGCTACAATATTTAGAATATTCCCGCTCGAATCTTACCTGAAGCTGTTGAGGTGGCCACTGTCGGCCACATTATTTGTTTGTCACATGTAAACGATACTGGTTGTGCCATAAGTGTACCTAGAGCTGTCCTTTAATGCGCTCTCCGAGAGAGAAGGAGCTCAGATTCAGATGAATTCATTTGGATCTCCAATTTAGCCTCTTCGAGTGATGATATCCTACACATGTACTACTTGACCCCTTAATTAATGCATGGTCATTTTTCTTGTTAAGTTTCACCACTTTTTGACAAGCTGCCAGAATTATTGAGAAATTCTTGAACCATTGATTTTAATAAACTCAGTCACTCAGTCCTTTTGCAACTGTCATTGAGCCGATCCTTGCTATCGTTATAAAAAAAATTAACTTGACTTTTCAGCCGACCCATGTTATCATTATCAAAGCCTGAGTGATGCCAGTAGAAAGAGCAGTTACGAAACACCCTGGAACCAAGAGATGTGTGAAGACCAACTCCTTAAGGGATGGTACCGTTTTGTGGGAGCTGCAGGAACAAAAATGCCAACAACACGTGTGCCAGCATACAGATGTGGTGCAGTCTGGTCAGGCTGGTTAAATGGTGCTCATCCAACACTAGAAGATGGTGAAGTTTCTCGGAGGGTCTGCTTTAGTGATCGCCCTACTGGTTGCAAAAACTCAATATGTGTCAATGTAAAAAACTGTGGATCCTACTTCATCTACGAACTTCTCCCCCCACCTAGATGTCTCTCACGCTACTGTGGTACAGACTGAATGTAAAGCAAATATACTTTGCGTAGTAAGAAGACTCATAAATCGCTCCGTAGCTACAAGTGTATAAGGTTTTTGTGTGACTTAGTTAACCTTTCTTATCTATCGTGAACATTATCAGCAGATTTTAACTTTGGTGGCAAAGACGTATTTATTTCATTAGAATGATAATTCTCATCTGATAGCCTCTGTCATCGAAGACAGTTGAAAGATCTTCAAAGTAATCTTCAAGTAAAATCTGCAAGACAAAATCTCAAGCTTATGGTTTTCGAGCATTTTAATTGTGTATCTTTTTTTATATTTTTTTTAATCCTTCTTTAGCCGTAATTCTTAACCATGGGTATATGATATAGGGGTAGAAAAAAATAGAGACAGTCAAAATCTGATGTGCTATGAAAATACACAAAGTTAACGTAATAATTGTGACTCAGTATTTTGAAACGTTGAACTGATTTCCAGACACACAGTAAGCAAATTCAACGGTTCACTCTGTCGTAATCGTGTGTCAAATGTGTCCGAATCGACCAGAATTCATTCGTAGTGGATCTCTTACAGACTGATTTTGAAGCTAAGTTAAAGCTCTTTACGCAATGGCTTCAAATTTCCCTATACAGCTTATTCAATTAAGCGCGCAGGCACTTCATTCATTCAAAATTAAATTCGTTAAAATAAGTTTTTGCAGCAAATTGCACAGGTAATCACGCGTTTCGAGTGCAATTTGGGAGAAATCAGCAAGAGTAAATTTTCAGAGGCTAACCAAACTGTATGAACATGTAGGGCGAGTACAACTTGCATGTGTATAATTACGTTTAAAAACTGCATGTAGCTTTTAAAAGTTGACCTGTTTTTCTAAGTTTAATGTTTGCCTACAACAGAAACACGCAAAAAGAAAAATATTCGAAGCTGCGATGTACTGAAAATAAGACTTAGAGTAGTATGGGTAAGTTGTTAGGTGTTGTAAACAACTTTCTACACCGTTCAAGTACATCACCAACAATTTTTCATAGAAATGTTAGTTTTGAAATCAAAATCACACTTCCTCACTATGAAATTTTCCTTTTCTTTTTTTTTTATCCTGCAAAAACATGCAAGGAATCCTATGAAAAATAATGAGCACAGGAAAGAATGCCCACCCCACCCCAGAAAGCCACTGCCTTATATTTCAATATTCTAAGACTAATCTTCCAATCATTTGATATTCATTTGTCTCTAATTTAAAAGAAGAAACCTGAACACAATGCAAATGGTGCAAAGCAGGGCGAATTCATTAACAATGTTTTAAAATATAGAAAAATCGTTGGTGGTCTTTTCAAAGGGAAGTGATATGAGCTGGGTCACTTTGTGGCACAGCTCCTTGAGTGGTGTAAATAGAAGGGCATCGTTAATGACAATCGTTAATTCAACAAAAACTGTGTATCTCTTCGTAAGCACATTTGACTTGCATGGACTATTTTCAGCTGTTTCATAACATGAACACGAGAGTAAATGTTACGGGCAGTGTAGTCCATGGGCCAGAGTAGGTTCTCGGTACCTTCATCTGATGAAAGGTTTTGTGAAAAACTCTTCAAATTCACTTGATAGCAATCGCGAAAGAGTAGCTCTTACAATTTTTTTAGTGGACTTAATATAGATAACCAGGGAAAAATAACAACAAAATAAAAATGTTCGGGAAAATATATGAAACCAGAACCCAGTGAAGTAAAACGCAGAGCAATCAATCAAAAATGGCTTTAACTTTACATCACAACGATTCAATAACAAATGGAGAAAGTTATTTAAAAAGACCGTAACGTAGGGAAGAAAGAAAGGAATTTTTTTTTTACAACTGTCACAATTCATTTAATATTGAACATTTTTTCTTGAATAAAAGTAATGTTAGAATAACGATAATGTTAGTAATGTTGAGACCCTTTTCTTATAATTTTAGAATTAAATTGTCAATTATTATCAAGTAAACAGAAATAAAAAAAAAAACTTGGAAAAAGGTATGGTAGAGCACTGCACCGGTATCGCAGAGGTCATGGGTTTAAATCTTGTACAGGCCTGAATTTTTTTTCAGGCCTTCTTTTCACTACTGCCTAAGTAGTGTTCACTACTGCGAAGATCGCTTTCATGTTCACGTCTTTATCCGCAGTTCAAATATATGACTTTCAAATATTCACAGCCGTTTAAAAAGGTATCTCTTGTAGTTTCTGCCTTTTTTAGTGCCAAGGGACGTTCATTAATTTGCTATCCATAGAGGGGGGTTGGGGCAAAGTTTTTTTTTAATAAAAGAACCATAGGAGAAATTATTGTCATCTTTAGGAGCTAAGAATAGTAATGGATACCTCTTGCATTGTTGTGTATAAAATGCTCTAAGAAAAATTCATATTCATATTCCGCTAGTGAAAGAGGTTACTTATAAAAAGTGTAAACGTACGGTCAACGGTTATGTTTAACTTCGCACGGTTAACATATTTTTTTTCCATACCTGGAAACAGTCAAAACTGTTGCTGAATAAAGCCTATAAATAAAACCACGAGCGGAAATTTTGCCCACCGTCTTCCTTTGCTGGATTGCAATATTTATCCTGTCGATGTCATCTGTTTGGAAGAAGGGAGTGAATAACGTTTTCGTACACCACGAATGTGAGTGCACACGCTGGCGTTACTCTAAAAAAGATTCAAACAGACGAAATACAGTAAAACCAACAACGAACGTGTTGACAGAGATTACGGTCTCTGAATATCTTCTACAGCGCTCCGTAGCTGGATTTCCGAAATTCAGAAAAAGAAAAAAACCGCAAAAACTTACGCTAACACATCAGATGGAGCACAAAAACTTGCAATAAGGATAAGTATCTCAATAATTTCAAAGTACTCGAACATATAACTGACGGAAACAATGTCATGACACCTATGTAAAACTAACTTCGAATTTTGTAGCCTCTAGCTGTATCTATCCCTTTTCTCTTCTTCCCAGTTTCTCACAGACTAGAATGTACAAATAAGTTCAAACACCTTATGGGGATTACTCGTCTTTTAAGACCCTTTTCTTTACAAAGCGCCACGTAAAATCAGAGATGGGATCCAACTAAGCCTTCCTGGCCAATTCTAGATTATATGGAACCTATTACCAAATGTACTTGTACCATCAATTTTATCCTTAACATTCTGCCTTACCTGAGGACACTGGAAACAATCCTTTGTAAAATCCTCTTACTCCTTCTTGCCTAAGATTTTGAAAAGAACCATCCGTGAGAGGAGACCAGAAAAAGAAGAAAATACCTATTTCCTGAAAATGTGGACTTGATCACTAAGCCATAAATGGAAGTCAATCCAAAAACTGGATCCGGTCCTCAACAAGCTGGACTCAGTTCTCCGCCATGTACCTCCATTTAATGTAGATGGATTTGAAACTAGAAATTAAAAGCTAGTCTACAGCGTATTAAAAAAAATTGAGTTCTCATACCAAGCTACAACTGACCTGAAAGTTTTACTAATCACATCCAACGCGCCTTTGTATTCCACCATCATGTACTGATTCTTTAGAAAAGTAAAATTATTGAATAATAAATAACAGAAGGAAACAGTAAAAATAGAACGATTCGCTGAAAAAAAAAGAAAAAAAGAACCCGCGTAGAGACGGCCTCAGATATATTTAATTAGTTTTAGCAAATTTTATGGGCACGGGATCAAACCTTTGGCACTGTGCGTTTCCATAGCCATCTTGGATCCGTGTTTCTTGAGAGGAATGGAAACAGTGAAAGAGAGTGAAATCTACGCTCCCTCCATGAGATTTGATATTCGTCCATATTGAAGGGTTTCCCTTTTGTTGGTGTCCAATTGAACTCCTGGGAGGGGGGGGGGGAGGTTATGTGCTTAGGGTTAGTTAATGACCTGGCTGAGGCTCGAGGCTCGAGTACAGGCAACAGCAACTCAGAGTCCAGCAAACCAACCTATGAGACCACTGCATCACCAGCCTGAAAACTAAAGAAAAGCTCAAAACTACAAGTTTGTTTCCAGCTAATAGCATATAAACGTAAAACAAAATCTATTTCATAAAGTTTATACTTTGCTAAGGAATCTTCAAGGTACTCAATTGAACTCTATGAAGAAAAGTAACATTCAGGAGCAAACTCTTCATATAAAAATAACTTTGCTATCTTTTTAGCATTTCATAGGGATTTCCCAGATGACTCACGGTTACATAATAAAAACCTAATCCTAATCGTACCTTGTTCCAAGCAACATGGGCAACGAAGGTAATAAAGGTTTTCGTTTAGGCGTCAGATGTAGCTTCAAAATGCTGGTTGTCATGGAGGATGACTACCCAAGATGAGAAGCCACAAACTTCCCCCACCCTTCCCTATCTCATGTTCTCCCTTTACATTCGCTAATGGCCATTACATGTGTTCGTTTTGTGATTTTACACCCTAACATCAGTATCCATATTCTCCATACTGTTCTCTATACATTTTCAAAGGTGCTGACATGGAGAATTTCTTTAACAATCAAGACCTTCTTTTGTTGCTGATCTTTTCCTTTAATCTAATGACCTCAATAAGTGACTCAGAGGTGATATTGTAACGAGCATTTAGATATAATAAAGTTCACATATTATAGCAACCAGATGGACGATCAGAAATGGTTTGATGCTACTCTGGTTTACAGATTGAATGAATGTAACCGAAGAGGTTACAATTCATAGACCCAACGTTTGGACACTCCTGTCTAGTGCCTTCATCAGGGATTATCTAAACGTTGCAACGAGAGGTCCTTTTATACGATCACCAATTAGCTGCCTTTTTTTCTGACGAGGTGTAAATAGGCGTCAGGAAGTAAGCCACCATCATCATGATTTAAAGGAGCCTGGGAGGAGTTAATATGCCAAGCTTCCAAACAAAGGCGCTGGTGGTAACACCGATTAGGGGTGATAATTTTAGACTTATCCCACCAAATTGTATGGTTAGTTAGGCTATTTAATTCACCCTTGAGTGTGAAAAGGATAGACATTTGCCCTGAGAAGTTAGATGCTAGTCAATCGTTGGAGGGTAAAGGGTTGATTCTTATCAATCCTTCCGGATGGAGAGGGGAGTTGAGAGTAAAGTTTCTTTCCAATAAATGGCAACACTTCAATCATCCCCCCTAAGCTATGAACTTGATCAGAGTCGAAGCACTTCACATGTTTCGACATGTTCTTTTTTGTTGACGTTTCAGATCAAGAGTTTCTGGTTTGCTAACTCGGTTGAATTTGTGAGCTTTAAGACATATACAATCAAATATGGAGACACGTGCAGACAGTACTCACCAGCTTCTTGTAGATTGGTGTTCCAAAATATTGACTGCAGCCTTTCTTCAGCTTCTCATAGGCTATGAATTGCAGTGCTCCGCGTGATACGCCAAAAATACCCGGAACGCAACCCTGGTCAAGTAAAATAAAATGATATAAGCAAACTTCGTGTTCCATCCAAACAGTAAACTCAGGTTAATCACTCAAAATGCCGTTATCTAAACTACGCCTAGTTGGTGAGTTCTTAAATAAAGCTGAATTAGCTTTTCATGGTTACTGACTCTAAGACTGGTGTTTATGCTTCTCTTTTGTCTTTGTTCTTTCCTTCCTTATTTCTCTTTTTGATTGTTTCCCTCCTTTTTTTTAAGGAGGTTTGAAAACCACTGTTGGCTCAGTGCACATGCAGCAACCAAAGCATAACTACTACAATTTCAAATGCTTTAAGTCTCAAAAGTGAATATACCAACAGTTCTCTGCAACCAGAGTGCCAAACAATGAGTCACTTTAAAAAAATAGGCCTAATATATTGGTGTACATTTTTCAAATTGTGCTCCATAAGAACACTTTTACACCTCGCGGTACTTTGAAGGAGATCAAATGAAAAAGAGCAAAAAATTAAGCCGAATCTCGTGCGGGAACTTTCTTTATTCTCTATGTATAGAGGGCTGGAGTAGTCTGTAAGACAAATATCAACATTTAGAAAAAAGCAATTGATAGCGTTCATGTGAGTTTCGGCAAGAACTTAATCATGAGGTTCACTTTGGATAAATGATTCGAGACAACTCTTCCCTCAATTTTTAATAACTGAGTTAGGCCAAGAATATTTTTGGGAATAAATATCAAGTGAATAAAGTTCAAATTGTTTGACCAGTCGTACTTCTTTTCTGCTTTGAAAAGTGGAATATTCAGGACTCAATTATCTTCAAGCCGCACAGGTCGGACGGTTGTAATTTGCGTCCACGAGGCGTCTTTCCTATAATAGAAACCTCATTAAAAATAGATGTCCTTAATGCATCAATTTTGGGTCACGGAACCATAGTTAAAATAATTTTTTAAGGACCTCACTCGGACTCAAGTTTCAATGCACAAAGGCTGTGCATTACGAAACGAAGCTATCTGGCGACGATTTGACGTAAAATGCTGATCTAATTTGTGGAGGGCTCTTCTTATGTAAGTCATTACATCGTTTCGAAATGTTTGAGGGCACTCGTTTTTGAGCATGAGGTGAAATATATATCATTTAGGCGTAATAGTTTCTGAGAGCTGGTAATCAAGTATCCGTGACGTTGGTGAGTGCAGGGGCTCCAAGGAATAATTGCGTTGTTTATCATTCATTATTCCTTTTCAGAGTAAGTGAAGTTCTCTGCTATCATTAATATGAGAAAAATCTTTACTCTATGCTAATATAACGGTAAAATCGAACGTGCTTTTTCCTTGTATTGATACATCAAAGAAAAAAAAAATTGCAAGTGTTTGAGCCTAAACACATCCATATAAAATATTTTATTGACAACTTCATACACGTAGCTGGAAAATGACGAATATTGATAAAATAATCATTTCAAACGTTTTTCAGTCCTCTTTTACAAAGCAACTCTAAACTGGTAAAGGAATGAGACTAAATCCTTTAGGAAAGAAAAAAATCTTTTGCGTTTATGAATAAGATTTGAACCTTATCTTTCCTTTCTCGGACGGAACTGAATAGCGAAAAACTTAGAAACAAATTACATCCAAACAAATTATTGACAAGACAACGTCTTACCATTAAATAACAACTTTGAGATTCGACTAAACGGTACAGACATCATATAAAGGGTTTTACCGTGTAAAACGTTAAAAATAAAATAGAGACCAAAGGTTTGCAGCAATTCAACTGGCCTTTTTGAATTAAAAAGCTTCATTTTAATCGATGTATTAACAATGTAAGTTCAACCCCATATCCTCTCTCGTAAGTTGATATGTAAGAGGAATCAAATCATTTTGTTCAAAACAATTCTTTAGCGCAAAAGTTCTCCGTCATTGTTTTATAGAGCTGACGGAAAATTGCAAGCACGGTTATATTAAGGTAAGGAAAAGCCAGAGTCTTGTTTTAACCTTTTTTTAACCATCTTTGCAATGTCAAATGTGGACAAGAAATTACATGCCAAAGCTATAACTACAATAGAAATTACCAAATATGTGAACTAAATAACCGCACCAAGGAGGCGAGACCAGAGAATGTCCTTTCAGCACCCGCGTGGTTTTACATCCGGCGATTGAGCGGCAGAGGTGAGAAATCAAAGCTATTTCCATCTATGTGATTGCTATTTCTTAAAATCTTCTCCGTCCTAGAAGAACTAAGAATTGGTGGTGAACCTAAAACATATCTTTACTGCAGTTCCCTTAGGCTCTATCCCTGAATTACCGGCGTTGTCTTGTCACGAAATAAATGCAAGTGAAGGTAAACACATCATAAGCGGCAAGTATTGGCTGGATCCAACTTTTAAAGGAAAGGCAAAACTGATTTACTGTGATATGGTTCACGAAGGTAGGTCTTATAAGTTTGCATGAGTTACTTTATTTTACGAGTTATCAGTAACATGAGATTATTATAAAATTATACTATTATTGATATACCATTACCCTAATATTTGGTTTGGATCAGTTCTAGCGAGGATGCCTTTCTTAAGTTGCTCTAACTTAGTTACTGCTTCTCTTTACACATTCTAGATATGGATGAATGTAAATATAACATCAGTAACTGCGATGTGAATACAAACTGTACAACAACACGTATGGTCCTTACAAATGCATATGTAAAGTGGGATACACCGGCGATGGACACTCAAGCTCAGGTAATATTGAAGATGACCTTATTAATATTTCCCAATAAAACCCATTTTGTAAATATTCTCACGATTTTAAGCAGCGTTACCCATGCATGTTTAGGCACAGAGTAACCTTGGTGTACACCTGGCTTGTTTCAGAGCATTCAGGTTGATAAATCAAACTATTTGTGCTGAAATATAATTTCGCAATATCTAATTCATGTAGCCCTAAAAGAGAAACATTTGTTTTAGAATTTGTGATGATCAAAGGAATTAGATGACTATAAGTTATAAAAACGATAAGATGCAAAAATGTATCGATGGTTTTTCAGATATTGATGAGTGTAAAGTAAATCACTCTTGTCACGTGAATGCTATCTGCACGAACACCAAAGGATTGTACGTTTGTACTTTTCACCCCGGATATGCACAGGTATTTATGCGTTTCTTTTGTAACCATTTCCGCTAGAAAGAAAAGCACTATCATCGTTGCAAGACTTGTTTTACTAGTATACCTTGTATAAAAGAAGAGGTGAGTGTACTGAGGCCTGAAGACAATGTTGATAATGACACAATTGTATTAAATAAACATTCAGTGGTAAAAAATCTCAACTGGCAAAGGGAAACTTGATGGATGGGCTTACAGGACAGAACAACGGATTTAAACTCGCGGGGAACCAAGAAAAAAATCTAGTGAGCGCTAAAGTGAAGTGCTTGCCTCTAGGACCCAAGAAAACAAGACCAAGGTTTCTAAGGTTATGCTCGGCAACTTCTTCCCAATTAAATATTTTAAAATTTATTCGTTTTTATGTTTATCATTTTACAGATATAAACGAGTGTAAAGGAAATCACTCTTGTCACGCGAATGCTACATGCATGAACACCAGAGGATCGTATGTTTGTACTTGTGACCCCAGATATGATAAATTTGTTTTGAAACCATTTCCATCCGAAATGGAAGCACTATCATATTTGTGAGACTTGTTTTACTAGCATACCTTGTATTGACCCTTTCACTCCTGAGATCTCATTAGTAATTCGGCTTACTGTCTACCATACAATCCTTATGATGTTAGTTCTAAGAATTTGGTATTGAATCAACTGGTAATCCTCGAGCTGATATTTTCCTTATTCTCGTCATTCGTCTGTTTTGATATTGTAATGATTTGGTAAGAAGAAATTCTTTCTCGGTCATTAATGGGAGGAAGGTGGTTAAGTAAAGATTCAGTGCATGGTAAAAAAAATCTCCAGTGGTAAAAGAAGACTTGATAGATAGGCTTACAGGATAGAACAACAGATTTGAACCTGGTGGAACCGAGAAAAAAATCTGTTGGGTGGTAATGTAAAGTGCTTGCGTCTAGAACCACAAGACAACAAGACTAGGGTTTCTTACATTATGCTCGGCAACTCTTTTTCAATTACAGTTTGTTTTTTTTAGTTATGTTTATGATTTTACAGATATTAACGAGTGCAAAGGAAATCACTCTTGTCACGTAAAAGCTACATACATGAACAGCCTTGGATCACATGTATATCAATGTCATGCTGGATATACTGGAAATGGACAAAACTGCACAGGTGAATTTAATTTCTTAGCTACAATATTTTTTTAATAGTCCTGTATGTCTTCCGGCTAGAGCGCCGTACCATTCAGTCGCGTTGCAAGACAATTAGATAATTTATTACCCATTACTGGTTTTGATTTGAGCAGCCATTTCTCATGTTAAGAACCTCTTAAAAAAATTCAGGCCCTATTTTCAACCACTCGTTTCAGTAGTGTTCTTAACTGCGAGGATCTCTTACATTCGTTTCTTCACCGCATGCAAATATATGAATTTTCATATATCTAAAATCATTACTCTTATGTAATCTTCCTGACTTTTAAATGAACGATTTTGGTAACTGATGCGTTGTTCTGCTTTAAAACTTACCTTATCACAATGACTGACAGAAGCATGAAAATAAAATTGCTCGTTTGGCTCCGAACCCTGTGCACAGGGTGGATATCTAAGTGATTTTCCATGGCGCTACGTTTTCGTCGACGCCTAAGATATATTTGAGTGAAGAAGTTGAAAGTTATTAGCATCAAGTTTTATAAAATAGTCAAGATACTACGAGCGCCCTGATTGGTCAAAAAGAATCGTTGATTGCACCGGTAAACCTGTGGAAAATTGAAGTTTATATATGTTATTAAAGTAACAGACTTCAGATGTTGGGGAACCATTCCAAAAAAAAAGTAGATCAATCACTTTCAGCTCGTTCTCGCAAAATCCAGCGTGGATTATATCGCCAGTAAACTGAGAGAAAGAGTGATAAATAAAGGTTCTACAAAGACTGCGGCGCTGTGTCGGTGGGAGAATGCAACAGGGTAATTTAGTATTATCAACTGGGTTGATTACGTAAATTGGCTACGAATGCTCGAAACGTCAGCTTTGAAACTCTTTACAGTGGCCAATTTGCATTTTCAACTCAGTTGAAAAGGTGAGAAAAAAAATGGAAAAGGAAAAAAATCTTAAAGAAATGGTTAGGTTGAGTTCTGAAAGGATTTTGTATTTTCTCTGACCTTAAAGGACCCTTTTCACGGAACTAAAGAAAACCTTTGGGAGGCAGAGAGTAATCACACATTCCTGGGAAAAAATTGTGTTACTACCGAATACCCTCGGGGCTGGCATCGTTGGGTCGGAGCTTAGAATCAAACATGTCTTAAAAGCATTTGGTAGCATACAGGTGAGGTACATACAAGTCAGACTCTAATGGGCAATTATAGCAACACGAAACATGACTCTTTGTAATGCTATCATTTCATTTTAGTTACGTTGTGCATAATCATTGTCCAATTCAAATTCTTCTTTAAAATTTATTCAGTGCATAGTTGTTCTTGTAAAACACTAGCCCTATTTGGTTGTTGTCGAACTGATTGACTGGAAAAATATCAACAAAAAAATTATCTTTGATACTATAATGTTTTTGCAATGTTTATTTAATTTAACAGCTGACCCGTGTTATAATTATCAAAACTTAGCTGATGCCAACAGAAAAAGCAGTTATGCTACGCCGCAATTTGGTCCAGTGTTTTGTGACGACTTACTCTCCACGAGATAATATTGTTTTGTGAGAGCTGCAGGAAAAGACAGTTGTTCCAAAGCCGATCGCTTGATAACCTGAAATATTCGTGATGAAATGTACGTTTCAAATATCGAATTCGTGGAACACAAAAAAGTAGAAAATTTGTTTTACTCTATATAAATATCAAATTGAAGTAACCACACGACTGAGAGTCCGCCCATTTTTTAAGTGACAAACATGATAAAGTACAAATAAATATATGGTTTCTCAGATATTGACGAATGTAAAGGAAATCACTCTTGTCACTTGAATGCTACCTGCACGAACACCAACGGATCCTGTCTGTGAATGCCGCCCTAGATTTAATGGAAATGGTCGAATCTGCACAGGTGAATTTAAACTATTTGCTAAAATATTTAGAATATTCCTGCTCGAGTCTAACCTGAAGCTGCTGAGGTGGCCATGTTATTAGTTTGTCATATAAAAACGATACTGGTTCTGTCTTGAGTCTGCCTGGGGCTGTCCTTAAATGCGCTGTCTGAGAAAAAAGGAGCTCAAATTCGGATCCTGCTGAATTCCTCTGGATCTCCAATTTTACTGTTTTAGCCTCAAAGCCTTAAAGTAGTTTAAGACATGCCATGTTACAGTATTTAATTCTTCTTTGCCTAAAAACACTGGAGGTACGTTTGAGCTATCTACAATCGAGTGAGTGAATAATAGACTAATAATAGCTTGCATGCTATATAAGTCGATCCTTAGCGTTAAACAAAGCAATTTTAGCAAGAACTATTGTCCTACCAGTGGAAATGGACGAAACTGCACAGGTGAATTTAATTTCTTCGCTATAATATTTTGAATAGTCCTGCATGACATGTTCGACCACAGCGCCGCACCATTCAGCCGCGTTGCAAGACAATTAGATAATCTATTACTCATAACTCGCTATGATTTAAACAGCCGTTTCTCAAATTAAGAAACTCTTAGGAAAAATCCCTGACTTTCAAATGAACACTTTGGTGACTAATGTATTTTTTTTCTTCTCTGAAATTAACCATATCACAGTTTGTGTTGTTAAAGTAACAGACTGCACTTTCTATCGGTTTACCAGCGTGGATTAATTGAAATGAAAATGGTCAAAACTGCACAAGTGAATTTAAACTCTTTGCTTTAATATTTGGAATATTCCTGCTCGAATCTAACCTGAAGTTGCTGAGGTGGCCACTGTCCGCCGCATTGTTAGTTTGTCACATATAAACGATACTGATTGAGCCTTAAGTCTTCCTAGACCTGTCCTCTGATGCCCTGTCCGAGAAAGAAGGAGCTCAAATTCGGATCCAGCTGAATCCATTTGGATCTTTAACATCACTGTTTGAGCCTCTTCGAGTAATGATATCCTACACATGTGCTACTTGACCCCTTGATTAATGCATCGTCAATTTTCTTGCTAAGTACCAGTTTCACCGCTTTTTGGCAAGCTTCCAGAATTGTATGACATTAAAGAAATTCTTGAAAGATTGATTTTAATAATTTCAGTCCTTTTGCAATTGTCATTTCACTTTGCAGCCGATCCTTGCTTTGATTATAAAAACCTGAGAGAAGTCAGTAGAGAGATAAGTTACAATACACCTTTCGGTTCAGAGTTGTGTGACTACCAACTCTCTGAGGGATGGTATCCTTCTGCGGGAGCTGCAGGAAAAAAAATGCTAACAACGCGTGTGCCAGCATTCAGATGTGGTACAAAATGGTCAAGCTGGTTGAATGGTGCTCATCCTACAGTGGAAGATGGTGAGGTTCAAAGGACGGTCTGCTTTAGTGATCGCTCTACTGGTTGCAAATACTCAAACGATATTATTGTAAAAAAAAGTGGATCCTGCTTAATCTACAAACTTTTTCACCCACCTGGTTGTGAATCACGCTTCTGTGGTACAGACTGAATATGAAGCAAATATACTTCGAGTAGTAAGAAGATTCATAAATTTCTCCGTAGGTACATGTGTGTCAGGTTTTAACATGTAACGTAGTTAACCTGTCATATCTACCTTAAACATCATCGGCAGGTACAGTCTGAAAGTGAAGAAAATTTAATTCACGCAATAACAAGATATGTAAATCGATCCGTGGGTAGATGTACATCAAGGATTCAACATTTAACGAACTTCTTCTTTATGATGATCATTATCACTACTGTCAGACTTTCATGCAGCTGACGTAGTGTTCAATTACGCTTTCAAATGTAAGTACTTTTAGTTTCAATTAAAAAAAACATATATGGAATATCAACAAGGACCAGGTTGATCACAAAATAAAAAGAAATTAGATCAATAAGTTGTAGACTGACAGATACTTATTCTATGGAATAAGAATTGTTATCCAGATGAAAGCCTTGGTTAAGGTTTCAAACCTATAGTTTTTAGGGTTTTTGTTTGTCTGTGTGTTTTGCTATTTGTTTTTGTTTGTTTATGTGTTTTGGTTTTTGTTTTTCTTTGTTTGATTTTTCTTTTTCCGCGATAACTTTTTACCATAGTTACACTGTATTTTGGCGCAGGCCAGTCGACAAGAGAAAGGCGATAAACTTAGTAATTATTGAAGTAAAAAAATAACAGATACGGAAGAGCATCAAAACCTAATAGCCCACGAAAATGACGCACAAATTTGACATTGCTATCATGCATTAGTACTTAAAAGGGTTGAACCAATTTCCAGACAATCCTATGGAAAAATCCAATGGCTAAATTATAAAGCCAGTCACAATGGTCTCAAATGGTTCAACGTGACCACACAAAAATACAAGTATTCAGAGCTGTGATGAGTTGAAGGTAACCCTTTAAAGCTTTTATAAGAAAACGCAATTTGGAAACAACTTTTTTCACCATATGATCACAGTAACATTTAGTCTCTGGAATACTAGTCAGATTTAATATAAAAATTAAACTTTCTTTATCACAGTTCCAAACTATTAAATTTTCCATTTTTGTTTCCTCTAGTAGAGTAATAACGATTAGCTTTGTATTCAAAATTATGCAAGTAATCTATTATTAAGTCTAGGTAAAGTAGACAAAAATGGAATTATTCAGAGCTGTGATGAGTTGAAGGTAAGCCTTCAGAGCTTTCATAAGAAAACGCAAGTTGTAAACAACTTTTTTCACCATTAGATCACAGTAAATATTTATTCTCTGGAATGTCAGATTTAATATAAAAATGAAACTTTCTTTGTCACAGTTCCACAATGAAATTTTCCATTTCTTTTTCCTCTAGTAGAATAGTAACGACAACCTTTGTATTCAAAATTACGCAAGTAACCATTATTAAGTCTGGGTAAGGCCCAGAAAAAAAAAAAACCCAAAGACTTCTGTCTGATATTTTAAAGGTCTTAGCCTACTTCTCCATTTACTTTATGTTCATTCGTTTCCTATTTACAAGAAGAGACCTGAGCAAAAAAAAAAACGAGGCAAAGCAGAGGTAAGTTTACTAGCAACATCAGAGACATGGTGGAATATCGTAAAATCTTAGGTGGTCTTCGCTAAAGGAAGTGATATCGGCTGGGTCATTTGTCAGCTTCTGCTTTTTGAACTGTATCAATAGACGGGCATTGTGTAGTTAATCAATGTACATAAAAAGTCTATAACGGTGCATAAATAATTCTATGCTAAGTGGACTATTTTCAGTTGAGTGTAATAGAGAAAACTCAAAAGTTCATGTTTACGGCCAGTGAACTGAAGAGAAAAAAATAAGAAAGGCAACAATAACAACAGCGGCAGCGACTACAATGACGCTCAAAATGGTTGTAATGATTACAAATCGATCATTCAAGTCTTTTTTTGACTTTGTATCTCACTGGCTCAGCATCAATGGCAAATATACTGTCTGATAAGATCGTTAAGTAAAGAACAGAGAGAGAAAAAACAGTGACGGGTCATTTTCGACACTCCGCTGAAAACTGTTCCTCAGATTGAGTTAATCTTTGCTCTGCAACAATTCAACCGATATTGTACATCATTCTTTGTTAATTTCCTAAAACAATATCACAAGAAATGATACAATTTGATTCACATTTATCACTGGTACTTCATTTAGGAAAATGGAGTCTGGTGTAGTCTCATTATAGGGGGAGGTGAGGGGGGAGGTTGCAATACACAATTAAAAAACAAAACCATTGCTCTCTTGAATAGTTAAGAATTGCCATGAATACCACTTTGGAATCCGTAGTTGTTATTTCATGTTAAACAAGATATAATTCCCTTGAGTTGCTTATTACCTGGTGTTCCATGCGATGAAAATACTTCAGCTCGGTCTCACTTGACTCTGGTTTGTTCTCGCCAGATAAACACTACGCCTTAAAATCTCAATTGTAAAATAAAAGCTACATTTTAACCACGATTTTTTTTTCTAATCTGTCACCATTACTGAAAATGAGAGACGATGATCGTGCTAGAAACACAACCATTAATTGAAATGGCAGATAATTTGCAATACAAGGTTCCTAACCGAACGATGAGATTACAGAACATTTTTACAATAAAAACGTTTCTTTTTTTTCCTGTGGTTAACAAAAAAAATTATAACCATTAAAACTCAGAGACTTTAGGAAAGAAAATACATGTTTTTGGTACACGTACACAGCAATTGGGGATTGGAGATTTTACAGAAAAAAAAGGCTCAAAACTTGGCCAAGTTTTCTTTTTATATTAAAAGGTTAGCTCATTTCGACCTTAGCCCAAAGAGAGACAAGTCCTGCCATTTTATTCAGTGCATCAGCATCAATACTTGATAGAATCGCTAAGACTTGGTTTGACACGTTTCCACAAAGCTTAAATGTCGCGGAAACATGAAGCTCTGTGTTTCCGTTACGTATAAAAAATGCCGTAACGTGGGATTTCGTCCTGTGATTGTTATGTCACTTATCAAATTTTTGAGGTTTTTTCATTAACAAACAATGTTTTTAGTGATTTTCTTGTTCTTTTGTCACCAATTTTTTTTAGGTTCGTGGAAAGCACAATTCGCTGAAAAAGCATAGTGGGGTTCTTTTAATTTGTACTTTAACGACGCAAAGGCCTCTTCCACAAATTGGTCGACTTGACTAAAATTCTTGACTTGCAAACATATACACCCAATACTTGCGGATAAAAAAAAAAAGATTACTTCCCTTATTGTGATATGAAAATACCCCGTAGGTACGTGAAGAGTACACCGGATATCTAAATACCCGAAGCCCCCAACTAAGCATGACCTCAGGAGGAGTTTTACTCCTTACGCTAATGGTTGCGTGGGGTGTGATTATGTTCTCTTTGTACTTCTCTATGTGGTATGCATGGTCCCCTACACTTGAAAAGTCGTTTAATTTTTTTAAATAATTACGGTTAATGAGAATTATAAAGAGTTAAAGTGCCTCCAATTTCTCGTCAACACCCTGTAGTAAAACTGCAATATTTACTGTAAAAATCTACGCTTTCGAGTCTGAAATAAACAGTATATTTTAAATCTCGAGCACTTCATGGGGAAAAAAGAATTACGCATTGATAACATTTTTTCGAACGACTGTTGTGACACAGGCGGCCCAAGCTCACGTCTCGAGAAAAAGCCAATAATTAATTCATAAAACGCGTCACGCGTTGCGTGACTCGGTGTTAAGTTACGAGAGTAACCGTTGAAAATTTGAACACGTTACGAGGAATAGTATGGGAAACGAAATATGGTCGATTTACAACGATAAATATTTCGAAGTATGAACATTTTTCCCGTAGGATCAATAAAACTTACTATTACTTCTGCCGTTTTAAGCTTGCTTAACCATCACTGTTTTTCATGTCAAAAGACATGAATAACAGTGATAACACAATCTGTGGTTGTGACAGAACCCATAGCGACAAATATTGACTAAGGAGTCTTTTAACAGTAATGTAAACTCCTATTTATAACTCTGTAGTAATCGTGTACTATTTTCACCCGATCAAAAAAATGACGTAATTTATAATGAACTCACTGCATCAATATTTTAATTGTGCAATGTTTTTCAAAGCTTTGCAAATATCAAATAGAACAAACTCTGTATAAGTTATGTAAGTCTCAGCCTCGACCTCTGCATTTCGTAAACAAGCTGCAAAGTACCATACTATGATATGTCAGCATATTATGTTGAATATTTATGAGCATCTGCTTTGAGCAGAAGTTCGACATGTCTTAGCTTAATAGCCGATAAGAAATGATAATCGATTCACGTGACGTTGCTGAGAGCGAGGAGTTATAGAGAAAATTGCGTGCAAGAGATAACATCCTTGCTTCGTGTTAATTTTTTCATTATTCTTTTGGGGTGAGGTCGATTCCAGCTATCATTGTTGTGAAAAAATGAAGGGTCTTCTTTGTTCTAGAGAATTATTGCTGGTTACAACCGCAAGATTCTTGCTGTGTGTTATGATATTTGAAAATATATTTCAAGCCATCACGATAAGAAATCAAGTATAATTAATCGCGAGAACTTCGCAGAAATGCGACTGGAATTGTCTACTGTGTCTACAAATACAGTTAAAATATAAAAATATTGAAAACACCATGCTTTTTAAATTGAATAGTTTTAAACTCCTTTTTCTTCGATTTTGAATGATGCCGAAAAAACAAGCATTTCTTTGTTCTTTTCAAACTTATGTAACACGGAATTCACTTAAAGACGTGCAGGTGTTCTCTCTTTATTCATATTTCAACAATACAGGACGCCTTTTCTCCCGTTAAATTTAAACGTTTTCATTCACACTTCCCTTTTTGTTTAAGTTTATGAAATTGTTTACACTTGATGACTCGTGTCCACGAAATAGTTTATAACATAATGATGATACGAAAATAAAGTATAACTGAATTAAATAAAAGTGTAGAGGTTCGATGTGTATGAATTAAATCGTTTATTTGAGCTCATAATTACTTATTTGTTGCATAAAAACCGCGT